AGTGTTTCTCCCCTATCCCAGGGGCTGATCCTAGTGTTTCTCCCAGTGTTTCTCCCCTATCCCAGGGACTCATCCAGGTGTTTCTCCCAGTGTTTCTTCCCTATCCCAGGGGCTGATCCAGGTGTTTCTCCCAGTGTTTCTCCCCTATCCCAGGGGCTGATCCTAGTGTTTCTCCCAGTGTTTCTTTTTCTCCCAGTGTTTCTGCCCTATTCTGGGGGCTGATCCTAGTGTTTCCTCAGGTGTTTCTCCTCCATCCCAGGGACTCATCCAGGTCTTTCTCCCAGTGTTTCTTCCCTATCCCAGGGGCTGATCCAGGTTTTTCTCCCAGTGTTTCTGCCCTATTCTGGGGGCTGATCCTAGTGTTTCCTCAGGTGTTTCTCCTCCATCCCAGGGACTCATCCAGGTCTTTCTCCCAGTGTTTCTCCCCTATCCCAGGGACTCATCCAGGTGTTTCTCCCAGTGTTTCTTCCCTATCCCAGGGTCTGATCCAGGTCTTTCTTCCACTGTTTCTCCTCTATCCCAGGGGCTGATCCAGGTCTTTCTCCCAGTGTTTCTGCCCTATCCCAGGGGCTGATCCAGGTGTTTCTCCCAGTGTTTCTGCCCTGTCCCAGGGCTGATCCTGGTGTCTCCCTGCAGCTGCTGGGCTGTACTACCTGGCGGAGCTGATCGAGGAGTACACGGTTGTCACCAGGAGGATCATCAAGTACATGATCTGGGTGAGTCCCTCTGCTTGGAAAACTGGGGGGGGGGGGGGGTGTTCCTTCCCAAAAATCCCCCCCTGGGGCTGGCAGGGCAGCCCTGGCGTGGGACATCAGCTCCACATGGAGAGGGGACAAGCACTTGGGAATCTCCTCCTGCCCCCAGAGCAGCTCCAGTTCCTGAGGAGGGAGGTTGGTGACCACCAGGGTGACCCTATCTGCCCCCCCACCCGACTCCATGGGGCCCCCCCATGCCCCTGGCTGGGGAAACTGAGGCTCAGCCACAGTGTGTCCTACCAGGAGCCACAGCAGGGAGGTGGGATTCCCATTTGGAGCTTTCCCACGGAGCTGGGCCTGAGTGGGAGGTGGGTGGGGGAATGTGCTGCACCCTCAGCTCCACAGGGGGGAGTGGGAGGTGGGTGGGGGAATGTGCTGCACCCTCAGCTCACCACAGACCCCCAGGAAGGTGGTGGGGTCCCTACCTGTGCCTCCCCCAGGTGACCCCAGCCCCTCTCCCCCAGGTCTCCTCGGCCATCCTGGTGGGTCTCTACCTCTTTGAGCACTTCCCTGGATTCATGGTGGGTGTGGGGCTCTTCACCAACCTGGTCTACTTTGGGTTGCTGCAGACCTTCCCCTTCATCGTCCTCACCTCCTCCAACTTCATCCTGTCCTGTGGTGAGTGGGGATGGGATTGGGAGTGGGATTGGGAATCCTCCTTCCCCCCTCCCCGGGTGGGCTCTGGGGGGCAGCAGAGGTTTGGGTTTTGCTGCCCTGGCTTTTCCAAGGACTTTGAGCTTTGTGCCCGTGGCTTTAATTGCTCTTGATGATGTGGCTGAGATAACTGGGGGTCAAGGGCTGTGGTTGTGTGTCCTGGGAATGTCCTGGGAATGGCCAAGGCACCCTCTGCTCTGCTGCTGGGGAAGCAGATCCTGGCTGTCTCAAAGCTCCTCCTTGAGTGTTCCCTGGGTCTTGGGAAAGAGCAGCAGGGATTGGAGGGAAACTGAGAGGGGTGGAATTCCAGCCCAAGGCCAGGCTGGTGGTCAGCGTGAGGAGAAAGAAAAGCATGGAGGCCAGTTCCCACAATTAACCTGGAAGTTCATCAGGGTTTTGGGAAGGTCCTGGAGGGGGTGACAGTGCCCAGCTGGAGCCAGGGATTTTGCATCTTTCCAGTGGGCTTTGCTGGGATGAGCTGGTGGGTCAGTGGGGCCCACGTTTGGGTAGGGAGGATGTCCTGGTGTCCTGTGCCATCCATCTGACTCCAGAGCCCTGCTCTGCCTGATCCCATGGGACACCTTCAGCAGGGAGCAGGCAGGATTCCTTCCAGCAGGATCTTCTGGAGCCTTATCCACATTTCAGGGCTCTTCCTGCCTCTGGCTGGGGAGGAATCCTGCCCTGGGAGGATGGGGAGAGCCTGGCCCAGGCTGCCCAGGGAAGCTGTGGCTGCCCCATCCCTGGGGGTGTTGAAGGGCAGGTTGGATGGGGCTTGGAGCAGCCTGGGCTGCTGGGAGGTGTCCCTGCCCATGCAGGGGTGGGACTGGATGATCTTTAAGGTCCCTTCCCACCCAAACCAGCCTGAGATTCCCTGATTCTACAACTGTAGCTTCTCCAAGGCAGGATTTTATCCACACAGCTCTCCCGGGGATCAGAGCTGGATGTTCCTCTGGATCCCAGGTGACATCCCGAGGCTGGAGGGGACAATCAGGCAGCACCAGGCACAGCTCTGGGAGGCCTGGGGACTGTCCCTTTGCCTTGTCTCCACCACCCCCTGCTCCTGCTCTGCAAGAAGAGGCCCAAACAAGCTCCCATTCCTCTCTCCTGAGAGCCAGGGGCTGTTTTTCCTGCCCAGGACAGAATTCCCCCTCCCATCCCTCCCACCTTTCAGCTTGACTGGCTCTGCAGATGGCACCAGAGCAGCTGGCAGGGACCTGGGCTCTGCTGGGGGCTTTTTTTTGGTGGTGTTTTTTGTCCTTGCTGCTTCTCTCAGCTCCTCAGCAAGTGTCAGGCTGAGCTCCCCAGGGAGCCCTTGGGAAGCTCCAGAGGGATGAGGAGCTGGAGCAGGACTGGGATTGGGGGGGGGGGCATCTCCAGCTGCTGCCACCATTTCTCACCAGACGCGTGAAAATATTTTAGCAGCAGGATTCCAGGTGTGGAGGGGGAAGGGGAGGGGGAATTCCTCCTTGGAATACTCCAGTGGGGTGTTTTTCTAGGCCAGAGCCTGATTCTGCTGTGTTTTCCTTGGCAGTGCTGGTTATATTCAACCACTACCTGGCATTCCAGTACTTTGCTGAGGAATATTACCTGTTCTCCGAGGTGAGGGACCTTTGGGAATGATCCATCCTCTTCCCTGAGCTGCTGGAGCTGCCAGGGGGTGGGAGGGAGGGAGGGAGGGAAGAGGAAAATGCCCTTTTTTCCCTCTGCAGGGAGACAGGCTGGGGGTGTTTTTCACAGCCCTTCCCTGAGGATCCCTCTGCTGCTTCTCTGGGAAGAAGCTGCAGGATTTCTTCCAACGGGTGTCCCTCAGGCAGCAGCACCACATCTTTAGCACAGATCTTTTCTGCTGAGCTGCTAAAAACCAGGGAAAAAAAATAGAAAATGATGCTATTTTTAATACCTTTTCTGAGCCCCCCAACCAGGACTTCCCTTCTGGCTTTATTGCTCCTTATTGTGACCCTGGCTGTTCCCACTGCCAAGGCCAGGGGTTCCCAGAGCAGCTCATCCAGGCCCAACAGGAGCTGCAAATGTTACAAACACCCATAAAAAACCACAACAATATTTTAAAAAACCACATCTTTTTAAGGAACTTTCATACTTCTCCAGCATTTCCACACATCTTCCCCCACCCCAGGGCTCTGACTCCTCATCCCAGGCACAAACCTGGGTCTTGACTCCTCCTTTTAATGCCTGGAAGGTGTGGAAGGGATTTAATGAGTCACAAACCACAGCTAATTTGTGGCTGGTTTAATTATGCTCTTCCAGACCCTGGTTTTGGGGCCCTCTGGAGGGTGTTCAGGGCAGGAACCAGGGCTGTTCCAGCACAACCTCTGGAAGCCCCTGAGTGCATTTGATCCCAGGAGCTGGGAAAGAGAGGGTGTGGGTGGCACCTCGGGGGGTGCCTCACAGCTTTGGTGGGTGTGGGGGGGCCCTACTGGGCTCTCACATACCCCCCCTGCTCTTCCCACAGGTTCTTGCCTACTTCACCTTCTGCCTGTGGTTAATTCCCTTCGCTTTCTTCGTCTCCTTGTCAGCTGGAGAGAACGTCCTGCCTTCCACTGTGCAGCCTGGAGGTGGGGCCTCCCCTGCCCCCCTGCTGCCCCCCAGCTTTTCCCCCCTGTTCCCTCAGGACAGAGCAGGGCAGCTGGTCTGGAAACACCTTTCTGAAAGGGTTGGGCTTGATAAAAGGGCAGGGAGGGGTTGGGGGAGATGCCTTTGAACTGGAAGAGGGAAGGTGGAGGTGGGATCTGAGGGAGGAATTCTGGGCTGTGAGGGTGGGGAGAGCCTGGCCCAGGTTGCCCAGGGAAGCTGTGGCTGCCCCATCCCTGGGGGTGTGTTGAAGGGCAGGTTGGAGGGGCTGGAGGCAGCCTGGGCTGGTGGGAGGTGTCCCTGCCCATGCAGGGGTGACTGGATGAGCTTTGAGGTCCCTTCCAGCTCAAACCAGTCGGGGATTCTGGGATCTCAAAAGGTCTTTTCCAACCCAAATAATGTGATGTTAAAAGCTGAGGCAGGAAAAGCAGGGGGGGGTACTGTTCAGGCTTTCCATCCTGCCCCTCTCCTCCTCCATCCTGCCCCTCTCCTCCTCCTCCATCCTGCCCCTCTCCTCCTCCTCCATCCTGCCCCTCTCCACCTCCCTCACCCTGCC